CTGAATTGAATCTCGATTAGCTCGGTCACGTGGATCGAACCAGACTACTGCACGTGCTATCCGTTCACAATATTGTGCTTCTCAGCTGGTTTCGCGCCAGTTTGTACTCATCGTGCAGGGATATCAAGGCTGCGAGTAGAATCCGGAATGTCAGGCATAAAAATGAAGCTTTTAGCTCTATGCCACCGAGCCACTGACGACGATGGTCACAACGGTTAATAACTCATTGAGATGAATATTTACAAAGTAGAAAGCCGGTCGCAGTGTTGCGAGCGGTCAACGCCTAACAAGAATATTCAGTTGCTGGAACATCTACGCAAGGTGTCATAAATAGTAGCCGAGTAAGTCGGTACAAAGGCAGATGTGCGCATAACAAACGGAATTTTTCTGTTGAACATTATGCACCCAGTTCGTTATCTTGTAGAGATAATGAGTCTTCCGGGAATACTCACTATCTTTTAGTGTTGCGATCCTACCCATTGCAACGAGACTGGACCTCAACGTGGTGTGATGGTTTGTGTACCCCAATGATCCACTGATCTACGCTGGTTGGTGCCTTATGCACCTTCAGAGCCACTCATACCAGATTGATCAATGGTTAGAGGCCAGACAAACCCAGTCTCCTGATCCTCCATGTTGGAGGTTAGAGTGAGGGTGGCCTCTTACTCCAGAAAACGGGCTCTCTGTAGTCCAGTGCCAAAACACCGCTGCCTTACGGTAAGGTTTTGAACCAAAGGCTTTGACTGAGAACCTTAATTGTTCTCCTGCGTAGCCATGGGCAACCTGACAGTATCCTGTCATGACTTTTTCTTCTAAAAATCTCTTGATGCTCTGACCGTCGCGGAGGATAATAAATAGCACCCTATCTGCTGCATCGAGTAGCATGGATAGGAGTTTGGATGCTAATGCTCAGGCCATGCGACTTCTAATTCCCGCTCTTGCGCTTTTTCATCCTTACCGTCCAGCTCCAACTAACTTTTTATTCCTCCGTTTTCAATCCTCCAATTCTTGGCCCTTGCCCACCTTGCTTTAATGGTCCCTTGTCTTCTAGTTTCGACTCATGCAATCGCAGGATGTCGCTCCAGCTCTTCGACAAGTCCATGTTCAACCAAGCGGACAACGTCAGTTCATCCGTTTCCCTTTGGAGTCCTCAATCCATGCTAAGACTGGCTTGTCTCAATGGGCACACTTTGCTATAGAGTGACCAATAGTCAGCAATTGCCAGAACACTCGACACCCTATCGATCGATATTTGCTGCTCAGCAGAAATCCGCCTGCAATATTCGAGTTCCATGCTTACCATGCGATCCCCCACATGCGACACTGGCGGTACATTCTCATTGTGCCTGTTTGGAGATGACGTAGCTTCAAATACCGGTCAAACTGGTGTCGGCATTGTTTTGAGTCGCCAGGCTGAAGCTGTCCTGATTGATTGGATCCCAGTCAACAGTTGGAAGTGCACCGTAGATTAGCTGACTCGTTCCAGGCATCGAAGTCGCGCGGGGACGAACGATACCTTTTTGTCACTGAGGCTTCTGCCACCATAAACTGAAGTCTTGATTCTTTCTATCACCAACAACGATCTCCTAAGTGACAGAAAAAGCGCGGATACTGTGGTGCTTGCTGGTGATCTAAACGTCCAAGTCGGAAAAATGTCCCCTGATGAGCTACATCTGGGTGGCCAATATGGTGAAGGCTCCCGTAATGAGAACGGTCAGCGATTGCTACACCTTCGTAAAGATGGTCGTCTCTTTCTCGCGAGCATTAACTTTCGACATGGAATCCACAGAAGAGTGAGTTGGCGCCGACCAGACCTGGGCCAACCGCAGACTAAAATGGATAACCTCGCGATCAGTTACCGGTAGAGAGGCAGTGTCGAAAACTGTCGCTTGATTTGGAGCACCAGCGTAAACTTCGATCACGGGAAATAGGCAGAAGGAGGCCTGGAAATAGCGAGACAATACGCGACAGTGGACAGCCGATCCAGAGCCGGTCAAAACGATTGGAGCGTTAAGCCGCACAATTTGCAAAGTAATTTCACTAACCTGAGTTACCCTTTTCTTTTTCGGGCATTGAGCGCTCTTCTCCTAGGGCCGTATCCCTGGATCCTCCCTCATGCGCAGAAGTAGAAATTGAGAACAGATTATTAAAATTGATCAAGGCCGCAGATGCAGACATTTTCTCCAGCAATCCTAAAATCCGGACGACCTGCTCTAGTAGATGATTTACACAAGTTGCTAGTGAAACACAGCGAGCAGAAAACTGTCCCGACAGACTGGGGTCGCTCCGCCGTAGTCCCAATTTGCAAGACAGGCTCCCGTTTGGAATGCCGCAATCATAGAGGGACCAGTCTGACATCAACTGCCTCTAAATTGCTTCCGTCTTTCGTCGTCCACAGATTGACTGGCACTATTCAAAGCCAGCGCCGCGAACAGCAAGACGGGTTTTGTCCAGGTCGGGCTGCATCGACCAATTTTTGCGTCAGTTGTTGGAGCACCCCCATTTTTATTCGCGACACACCGTTGTCGTGTTTCTCGACATCAGAGGTGCCTTCAATTCGGTGGATCGATGTGCCCTTCGGGACTGTCTGCTGAGGAAAGGTGTGGCCGATAAATATGCGTGCTGTACGCGCAGAGGGAGGGTTTATGGCAAACTGTCGCTGCACTTCAACATCTCCAGCGGTCTGAGACAAGGTTGCTCGCTGTCACCTTTCCTCTTTAACTTCGCTATTGATGAAGTCATGGAAACAGCGTTCGCTGGACACGACGTAGAAGGTGTGGAGCTCCTTTCTGGTTAACGACTTCTTGACTTGGAGTATGCGGACGACATCGCACTCATATGTGATAGCGCCCAAACGTGCCAGGCTGCACTGGACTGATTAACACTGGCTGTCAATCGTTTTGGGCTATGGTTTGCTCCATCGAAATGCAAAGTACTTCTCCAAGATTGGCAGGAACCCACCCCTGCGCTGACCCTTGGTAATGATCAGCTGGAAGTCGTTCAGGAATTCAAGTACCTGGGCAACTATATTAGCGCCCGTGGGATCGAAGACGAGATCACGAACCGTATAGCAAAGTTCGAGGTGCTTTTGCCAATCTTCGCCACCTGTGGCGCAGACGCGACATCACTCTCTCCTTGAAGGGTAGAGTGTATAATGCAGCCGACCGTTCAACCGTCTTATACGGTTGTGAGACCTGGCCCATCAGGTGGACAGACATAAGGAGGCTGGTCACGTTAGAT